AGAGAAATAGTGACCAGTGAAGGTACCCGCTTGGCCCTCAAACTAGGAGCTGTCCATCTTATATTCCATCCAAATGCTGTGTCTGAGCCTACGTCAATCGAGGTCTCCAGATGGAAATCCAGTGTCTGCTCACCCCCACTACAGGAACACGAGGCCATTGTCAGCAATGTTATTGAACTATCTTCCCACAATGGCCAACGCCTGAAATTCAATACTATGGTGACTTTGTCGCTTTCTCACAGTGCACCGGACCTACGGGGCTACGAAGTGGTGATAAAAAGGCAGATCAACAAGAAAACCAATAAATGGGAAGACGTGAGTGGAACCAAGAACTTACGCTGTCGCCAAGGTATAGAAATTATCTCTATGTAGTAGATTCATGGCAACTAAAGATAACCGTTTGGCAGATCCTGTTTCTGTAAGCAGGATGTGGTGTACGTCTTCTGTATTGCTGAAGGGTTTGCTTTGTTTCTTTTTAAGATAGTGTTATTACGTGTTACAGTTGCGCTTGCGCTCTCGATCTGAGACTTGTTTTTCTTTTTTCCCGGTGTTGATTTATATAACGTCAGTCTTTTTAGATGCCAAAGAAAGTGTATATGTTAGTTACATTTTACTGGTATTTTGTATCGGTAACAGGTATCGAAGATATACCAGATCCTTTCTTTCCTGTTGTTCAAGCTGATATAACTGAGTGCTCGACATATGCAGCGGTTTGCCGTCTCAAAACTTCTCCGACTTATACCATCACACCTGCTGGTGGCTCATTTAGTCATCCTGATTTTCCAGGGGTGATGCTTACAGTCCCTGAGAATGCTGTTGCACCTGAAACGGCGTTTTCCCTGGTGCTAAAGGTTAGTGTTATTACAAAGCTCCATACATAATGAGAGTAGAATAGCCGGTATAATCAACCCGCCCTTTTAAAGTGATATAATTTCTTGAATATGACAGCCCATTCTGTGTATAGCCGCCCCCTCCCCTCAGAAAAAATCGGAGAATGGGCGATTGACTGGCTTGGGCGGCTGTATATAGGCTAATGACAGCCTAAATGGTCTCGATGGTTTGACTGAAGAGTCGGATCCTTTTGATAAGCTTTTTAATATCTGAGTTACGTTTTCACTTACATAAGTTATGAAGACGCAAAGTCGTTCTCAATTCAATTACTTTTTGTAATGGTACAGGTGCAAGAAGTTCCTAATGAAGAATTTGACGAGGAAGGTGTATTTCTTGGACCTATTCTGCGAATTAAATGCTTTGAGGTTGTCCAGTTCTTTAGGCCTGTAACCATTCAGCTTCCAGTTTCTCTTCGAGACCTGCAGGACTTTAATCCAGATCCCACTAAATGCCATGTGAGAGTGTTGTTCCTGAATTGCGAGGAAGAAAAAAAGGAATGGATTGAACTCACTGATCTGTCAGAACCGACACAGTTTGATGCAAAGTTTGTTAGGATCCAAGTCCAACGATTTTCTAGGTAAAGATACTTAAGAGATCACTAGTATTTACCAGAGAGAAGGCCAGTTGAGTCCCTTTTTATCCAAAATGTTGATCCACCTTCACTCAACGTTGTTGGATGCAACGTTTTAGAGCCGTTTGAACACCATGTTGAACGGTGCTGGGTGTTTCTAGATCTGGTTTGAACGTTTAGAACCACAATCTTGGACAAATTAAAGTAAAATGGAACAGCAAACCCCCATCCCCCCAAATCGAGGATGAAACCGCGCAAAAGCCACTGAACCGCGCCATTTTCCCATCCTTGATTTCGGGGCGAGGGGAGATATAAATTTCCCATTTATTTTGTCCAAGATTGCAATCCGTTGGACAAAATAAATGGAACAGCAAACCCTTATCCCCCACCGCCCTCCCCAAAAATATATATATAAAGGATGAAGCCGCGCAAAAGCCACTGAAACGCGCCATTTTCCCATCCTTGATTTCGGGGGGAGAGGAGGTATAAATTTCACATTTATTTTGTCAAAGATTGTAGGATTGGACATCATCAGACATTTCTCTTTTTTAGGTGTGCGATGGCCACAAAGTTAAATGGGCGAACCCTCAATTAAACTTTGTTTGCTTTATTGCGCTTCACATTTCTTGTAAGTAATTAGCTCAGAATTCACTCTTCCTACGCAAGGCCCTATCCAATACTGCATCACATCATCCAACTTCGTTGGATCCAGTTGCTGGGTCGGCCTAAACGCACCTTTAGGTGCCTGAATGTAAAATTACTTGGACACATTTAATTACATTGTTAAAACAAAAAGCCAGTACTTCTTTCAAAGCATCCCTAGGCCGGAGTCAAATTGTAAGACAATACCCAAGTCGATTTTAGCTACCATGCTGCCCGTCAGGTGGTTAGTAAAAAACTATCTACTCAAGAAGAACGAAAGAACATTTAACGCATCTATCAGACTGTGTCTCTTTATAATTTTTCATTTTCAGTCTAATGGAAAATTTCTTGGGCTCAGCGATTACGTGGAATAATCAAAGAATCGACCTTACCATTTCAAGGCTTGTAACAACTCCATCCACCCTGGTTTACGTTAATTCAGGTTTGATTTTTTGGTTCTAGATATTCGTTTCTCCTTGAGCGGCGTGAAGAAAACTCCAGAGCGTATGGACTGGGGATCTTAAGTTACCTTACCCGCTTCACTAGACCGCAGCCCCGAGCAGCAAGTTTCGTCGCTTACTTTCGTCCAGACATTCCAAACATTTTGTTCCTTATTTGTTGCTCTGCTCACCATAAACAAGAGGTGATACAAGATCTTGAAAAAAGGGACGTAACGTTTGCTGATGGCAGTTCGATGAAAGATATGATACCTGGAGAGGACAAAGCATTTGTGTTTTTGTCAGGAGGAATACGCCCATTTGATGAGGAGGACGAAAATAACATTTATCTTAGGTGAGCTCATTTATTATGTATTCAAAAGATTTCCCAGTTTCTCCTTGGCTCAAATCCCGCGGCTAATTCTTGAAAACCAGCTAGCGTTGAGCAAATTTGGAAGACGTTTACGAGATCCAGAAAATGACGTCAACAGTGCAGCGTAATGCCAATATGGACGGCAGCCAAGAAGTCCTGATGAGATTTTGAGTTTGGTAGATCGGTACAAAATAGTGGAACATCCATCACTGTGCATACTTTTTAAAAACAGACCGATCTGAACAGTCGTGATTAATAGTTAAATCCTCTCCGGTGACTGAACAGTTCTGTCCAATGGTGAGCGAAGGATTACATCATGCATGTTTCTCTCTTACTTTTGAACAGGTTATTAGAAGACGATATTCCGTTTAAGACTGAATTGCGAGTTCGTCTCGTTGATGACGGAGACCTAGCACAAGTGGAATTTCGAAACACCTTGACACACACAGACAGAAAGGGTCTGTTGTGTAAATTTCACTTAACTTTGCCCTCCCGCAAAATGTCCCGCGCGGTAAGTATAACTTATCATTTTATGCTTGAGCATTTCATCTGTTTAAAACTCCTATCAGTTGAAAAATTCTGGGTCAGTTATTTAACGGAGTTTAACCAATGTTTAACAAATCATCCAGTACCACGTTCTAAGTCATTTTCAGTTTGCCAGACGCTATTATCTAAACACCGGTTATCGTGAACAATTTCATGAAAGCATATAGTGTAGACTAGAAAAGCATTTATCTGGTGATTCCATGATTTCTTAAACCGCGGCCTAAGTAAGACGTCGTTTCAATAACCAACCCTTTGTATTGCAAGTTTTAAGTTGAGTGAACGAGCAGATCGCTCAAGATGCTCTGTACTTGTAAGTTGTTTCTTGTAGAATTTTAGCCTGTTCAAGCACACAGTAATTTTCAAGGAGTTATAATAACTCCTCTAGTCAGTGGGGCTAATGTAACTCCTTACAGTGGAGTTATTTTTGGGGAGTTATTTTAACTCCAAAAAGGAGTTTAAAGAACTTACTTTTTCAGGAGTAAAATTGACCCCAGATACTGAGGAGTTAAAATAACCCCCAAAAAAGAGTTATCCTGTACCTAAACGTTTTACTCCACTTTCAGAGTTAAATTAACTCCAGAAAGAGTAAAAACAACCCATGTAGGGAGCAAAAATAACCCCCCATTTCGGAGTTATTTTAACTTCATACTGGGAGTAAAAAGAACTCTTTTTCAGGAGTAAAAATGACCCCAAATTCGGAGTTAAATTAGGAGTTAAAGTAACCCCCCAAAAGGGGTTATCCTGTACCTAAAATTTTTACTCCATTTTTGGAGTGATAATAACTCCCTAAAAATTACGGTACAATGACAAAGTTTACTCAAAATGCTGCAGGTATTATCATGTCATTTAAAGACAGTCAAGACTTCCCTCTTAATTAATATTAGAAATATTAACATTTCCAGCGGGTATTTTGAGAAAACAGACGACATTTCGGGACGCCACCGCTGGTTTCCCCTCGAAATGACGTCAGAGAAACGAGCGTAGAAATTCCATACTGATGACGTGACACTACCCAGATCTGGGTAGTGTTTCTGATGGGTTGAAGCAAAGCTCCATCCAATAAGAAGCATTACTCAGATCTCTAAGACCTGTTACATCAGACCCTTTCTGACCTTCATTCGCAATCAAGGTTACGGTCTGTATGCTATTAAATAATTATAATTTTCTACCTTTTATGCCTTTCTAGGAAGATCATGATTCGAGGGAACTTGAGCGACAACCTGGTAAGTTTTCAGTCTTTCATGATATATTTCCACTTCTTTTGTCAAATTTAATTCAGTTTAGGTTTCAACCAGGAGCCCATAGGCTCCTGGTTTTAAGATATTGCCTTATGATCTTCAATAAACTGTGTCTACAAGGTTAGCTTGTGACTCCGGCATTATCAGAACTGGTAAACTTTAATGCAAGGGATATCTCAAATTTATTGGCTGCTCTCAAGATTTTAGAGGGTCTTTAGAGGCTTGCTGGTCAATTTTCGGTTCAGACGGTCAGTGAAGTCTATACGTGGAGACATCGAACTAATCACTAAAAGCCATCGGATGGCGCTAGCTTACTAATAATCCCGCACAATCAATAAATACCACCGTATGAAGAAAAGCAGCGGTCGAAACGTCGTTCTTTTTTTCGGGAGTGTCCGTATCGCTCTTTGTTTGCTCTGAATGTCTCATTTGTGTGCAAGCCTTAATTGCCACTTTGAGGTTGGGCGGGATACCGGGTCGAGTTGGTTGTCAAAGTGCATTGTGGGACTGTCTCAACGAACTTGCCGCCATGTTGAAAATGCGTGCCCCAAAACAGTCCCACAATGCACCTCACAACCATCTCGACCCGGTCTCCGCGCAACCTCAAAGTGGCGAATTCTGTCGGTTCAAGAGAGAATAATGGAAGAGAGAGGGAGACGCCCAGTTTCGCCCTTGGGACTGATGTGAATTTCACCAAAGTTATTTTTAAACCAGTTATACGCTTGAATTAATCGGAAGTCGGTTCCCGAAGAGCGCCGCAATTTTTCATTCAGTGTTGTTAGGAGAGAATTTAACAGTCGCCATTACAATAATTTGCATTTTTTTGCTTTGAGGCAGTTAACGCGTGGACTTGATGACATTTCAAACATTCGACTACAATCTGCGGTCGTCCGAGGAATTAATTAATGAAAACCTCTAAAAATAACTTAATTGAAATTTACATATCCCGACGAATGCCCTAAGATTCCCCCTTTGTCTCGTTATTCTCTCTTGGTCTGTCTGAAGATGGCCATTGAGGGATCGATCGCTTAGCATCTCGATCGTTTTTATTTTCACAGAAATCAAAGATGGCAGTCCATCACCCGATGAACTGGAAGGTCTATCAGAAGAAATCAGTGACAAGTGGAAAAATCTTGGTCGTCGGCTACATTTCGGTGAAGCACAAATAACAGAACACGATAAAAACAATGATAAACTTTCTGAAAAAGCTTACAAATTGCTGATGGCTTGGAAAGGAAGGGACGCCTCAGCTGCAACTTACCGTGTTTTGCACAAAGCACTGTCCGACGTAGAACGCAGAGATTTAGCACAAGAGTTTTGTTGTCAGTGAAAAAGGTATTTTACCATTTTCTTTACATTATAGAAGTACTGCAGCCGGATATTGAAAAGTTAAAAGAGGCCTGTTGAAAGTTTGCAACGATACATGCAAACTCAAACTCTCATTTCGTGTTGTGGTCTTTTACTAAATCTAGCGAAAGCGAAGAAAATAGTTTGATGCAAGGCTAGATAAATAGCTTAATCATAACTATAACAAAATTGTCAAATCTGATTGGCTCTCAACTGCCCTGATTTCAGCCTTAATTGGACAGTTTAATAGGACAGTACGCGTCATGCCTAAGTAATTGGACAGTACGCGCCATCACGCGCACGCTTAAATGGCTTTTTTTTCACTGCTAGCAAAACAAAATTTCGAATTTCTTGTGTTTTGGTTTAAAAAATAGCCTATTGTATCACAAATTTTGTTAAAGTTATGATTAATTGGTAACAGAACTTCTTGTCGTCCAATTCAGTCTGTAATCATACTCGTGATTAAACAAATAGGACTCCCGCTACGCGGTCGTCCGATTTTATTAATCACTCGTATGATTACAGACCGAATTGGACTCCACTCAGTCCTGTTACCATTACTTATTATATGGCTGAGTCTGTTTTCGCCATGCGATTGGTCAATTTGCGGTCCGTAACTTGCTATACGGACCAAAATTTTTAAAGAAAATGCTCATTTCGGAGCTCTAAATCTCTTTACCTCGGAAAAAAGGTTTAAATAAAGTTATAAGACGCCTGTCAACCTTGAGGACTTGGATGTTGACTTTGGCCTTCAACATTTTAAACTGTGTTTATTTGTGAACGAAGGCGATGAAGAAACTAACTCGTAATCTTATCGAAGAGGATTCTAGTCAGTGTTTGAAAATTTTATCGTAGTACACAGTTAAAAAGACGAAAATCGACTGGCAGAGATTCGAGATGTTTTGCCTAAGAGAAAATGAGTAATTCCTTCAACAAATATGATAACAAACATACCTGCACCCGATCATCTTGACAAGCTTCTTTGCCATTTGCAGTGTTTTTTCAAAGACCAACGAAAGAAAGATAGAAGCGACTTCGAGCCAGACACAATAATGTCCAGTTTTCAAAAGCCTTTAGCGTCACATCATGGATGGTCACATTAACAAGTTAATACTTACAGTGCTCTTAGTTTCCACCGAATAAACTTTGAAATATGTACCCTGAGGACTGGGATGTTGACTTTGCCTTTCCAAATTTTAACCTAGCTTTGTTTTAATGAGAACGAAGCTGTTGTAGAAACTGAATCGTAACCTTACCGAGGAAGAGAATTCTGGTCAGTGTTTGAAAATTTTAACGCAGATCACAATTGAAGACGAGAATGAACTGGCAGAAAGAGAGGTTTTCCTAGAAACAATTAACGAGCAAATCCTTCGACAATGACACCAAACTTACCTTGAAAAGCTTCTTTGCCTTTTGCCAAACGGAAGAAAGATGAAAACGACTTCTAGACAGACACAGTGTCCCATTTCCAAAATACTCCAGCGTTACATTAACTTACAGTGCTCTTAGTTTTGACCGAATAAACTTTTTCAACATGGCGAATTTGCTTTTACTTTCTCGGAAAGCCTTTGTTATGTGCTATTGTTTTCGTGCGCCAATAAAAACTTTCTTTTTTGACGCCTGTCAAATGACTGTCAAATCGTGCGTCCTGCACTTGTTTCCGGTCCCCCAAACAGGAAGAAGCCATAATAAACATCTTATTAGCCTCGTTTTTTCGGTCCGTACTGTAAATTACGGATCCTCATTTTTTTCCATCGATTTATTCGCGCTTGGGCCATAAATCGTGGAAAAAAAACTTGGTCCGTAATTTACAGTACGGACCGAAAACTCGGCTAATAAGAGGTATTTATTTTTCGTATTTACTGCTCCCATGCTTACTTTAAAGCCATTTCTTAAACTGTGATAAGAAGTCTTAGCCAATAAGACATGTTTCTCGTGTAAAAGAAAAATCAGTCAATCCAATTAGAGTTTGATTGGACGGGTTTCTTGGCACTTTTTGTCCGCCTTGTTCATGTCCTCAGCTTTCCCGCCTCAGTCGTCCCATAAGGGTCGGTTTCTTTAGAAAGAAATATTTTTTTCGAAGTTTTGATCCGTATCGGAAATTTCACTCGGTCACAAAGCCTGCTTGTTGGTTTTCTGATATGACTGAACCAACTCATTTTCAAGTCGTGCATTGAAAATGAAAAAGGTCTGTTTCAGCCCCAAAGTACCAATTTATCTCTGCAGGGTAAAGTCTAATTCAGCCTCCACTGAGCCATTTGAGCACAATTTAAGCCAAAAGAGCTCAATCAAAAGCCTATTCAAGCCCTAGCTAATTGGACTGAATTGATCTTGATAGTGGAGCCACATTAGACCCGAAAATTGCGCTGTATTATGCTCATCGAAACGGCCCAGATCTTTCTGGTTTACATGCAGTGTGCGTAAATTGTTCGCGCGCACTGTTACCGGCATTCCCCATGTCTAATGTCATTGCTACGTCAACGAGTAAACTTTATTGTCTTTTCCACAGTTTATAGAGAAAAATAAAAATAAAAATGGAAGGGACTGCAGTGGTTTCTCTGACTTGGCTTTTCATTTTGTTAAACCATACTGTTATGTGTCATTAGTTATGCAATCAAACTTACACACTCTTGTTGTACTTTCTTTTACAGAGGGTTTCGTACTATTTTCCGACTTCGAGAGAAGGAACTGGAAAAAAACTGAACAGACCAGCAAAACTGAGCAATGAATTTGAATCATCTTTGTAAAGAGACTTTCTGGTTTCTGACGATGGAGGATCAAAAAACTGTGTGTATATTCCGCCTTCAAAATATGTGACCTCATCAAAGCAACTCACCCACGAAGACCTGAGGAGGGCAGCGTCATGAAATATTTTGAAGACAACGACTCTGCTGGTTAGTGAAGTATGTTAATGCTAATTTGCCTTGATCTCAGTTCTTGACACTGGTTATTCAAGGCTTTAAAACCTTGGTCGTGAAAGAATTGTTTTCACAGCACAACTTGTTTTTTCTCTGTTTTCAGTGATGTTTTCATTGGTGACGCCGTCGTTATTGCATAAACTGATCTCTTGTGTTTCCTGGGGCGCAATCAAAGATAGAACTCGGCTTTAATAAGATCCAATATTAAAACAAGGACGCGGAAAATGTCGCGAGTAAAAGTGTTCTGTTGGCCGCTGACGTCATAGGCCCCGTCCACACGAAGACGATTGTAAACGCAAACGCTAGTAAACGCATATTTTTATCTCCGTCCACACGAAACCGGTCATCGTTTACGTAACGTTTTAACCCGTCCACACGAAAACGCTCGTAAACGCATAAAACGATGTCATACACCGAACGCGAATGGTCTCAGTTCTTCAGCTAGATTATATAGCGAGTCTCTGCTCATTCGAAAGTTCTCTTTTCACTCCTCTGGTATCACCACTTGATCGGCAAAGTTGTTCCACCAGGCGCTTGTACGACCTGGTCTGGTCCACAATCTTCTCTCTTTGCTCTCACGTCTGCATCTAAGTCGTTTTACTCGAGTAAAAGTGCTTGTAGTTGTGGATAACAATCTTGAGAGGTTTAGTCTTCCTCTTTTGTAGTTTTCCTGTATATCGATTATTGCATGATTCAATTGAATGCTCGCAATTATGCTTGAAATAAGCGCAAGCATGACACAGCTCAACACTCGTGTGTACGCCATCTTGGAAACGCACTCGATAAAAGAGACTGGCGCTGACATCTGACGTCAGCGTTTTCACAGCGTTTACGAAAATATACGTTTACGGCCGTCCACACGAAGACGCATAAACGGCGTTTTCAAATTTATCCTCTTTGGAGAGCGTTTTCGAATTTATGCGTTTACGGTGAGCGTTTTCATCGTCTTCGTGTGGACGGAAGGCCTAAACGCATAAAAAAGTTTGCGTTTATTAGCGTTTGCGTTTACAATCGTCTTCGTGTGGACGGGGCCATAGAGTTTGCAATTTTAGGGAGCATAACCAAACACAACAGGAACGGCAACGAGAACGACAAAAAAACAATAAGTTTAGATTAGCAAAACAACAACTTTGCACGTGCATCACGCTTTGAGTTTTTGTACATTTCTTTGCCGTTGTTGCACGACTACAACGTGAAACCGTCTGGTTTCACGTTTTATGGAGGACGTGAACACAAGACAACAATTTTCTTTTTCTTTTTCTGATCTTAGATACAGTCCTTTAGAATTAACTCCTGAAAAATTCCCTAAAATTTGACAAATTAAATGAAATGAGATAAGATTAATGAAGTTTGAAAATGCAAGAGTTCACTTTTTAACTGACGTTTTCGCTGCCGTTGCCGTTGCTTAAGCTAACAGATTTTTGGCGATAAACAGTTTCATTGTTAGGTCATGTGACCTTAATGTAAGCAGTGACAGCAAGTGGTTAGCCTGTTTCAGGTATGTGGTTAGCCTGTTTCAGGTGTTCAGATAGTGGAGTGCGGCGTGAAGTGAGAGAGCGGAAAAAAATAAGGAGAAAGAGAGGGAGAGGGAGAGAGAAGGGAACCCCCTACCCCACCCCCTCGCTGTTTTTCCTTCTCACATCTGTCTGCGCTGTCCTTACAAATCTGAACGCTTGGAACAGGCGAGTAATTTGTAGGAAAAAATCTAGCTATGATTGTAAAAGCGTGTTTAATTTAATGCCGGTATAAGCACCACTTTAGATTTGCGCCTCATGAGAGAGAAAAAGAATTAAATAAGAACGGTTACTTTTTTAGTAACATTGTTATTCCTTGTGTTTCAGCCTGATGGGGCAGAGCTCTTCCATTTTGATGATGCATTTTCATCTTGGAATGCCAACCTCACAAGCTTCGTGACAGGTAATACATGGGATGATCATAGGATTCTGCATGGTGCTGCAAACCGCTTTGAAACATGCATAGACATGATCAACAGTCCGCCACGTCACTATGACGTAATGACCTGCAGTAA